TCAGAACCATTAAACTGCTCCATCCTCAAGCTCCTGTGAAAACCGTTACCATGGCAATGTGAGTATACAAGCTAACTAATATATTTTACAACAACACAGAATGTTTCAAGTTTCCAGTTGGTTCAGTGTGTTATAGTCTTTAGAAAAATGGAGATGGTTACCTGGGGAAAAATCCACCCAAAATCCCAGTGGTTGAAGAGCAGATCGCCCTGAAAAGCTGATCACTGTCCACTCTGGTCCACCTTGGACTTCTGATTGAGAAGATGAAGGAGAAGGGAGACAAAGAACGAGTGAATAAGGAACCAGAGCAGTCTGCGGTTCTGTTGTAAAACTAAAAACTGCTGTTGGGAGAAGCCAAAAGAAATTAAACAAACTTGAATTGAGCTTGTGAGCATTGTGTTCGAGTATAAAAACAATATCTCTCAATATTTACAACACACTTATGTATGTACTGTTTGTAGTGAGTGTAACACTGGAACAGAAAAGGCATTAAGTCATTATGAAGGAATGGAGAAAAGTGTTTTTCCATTTCATCACAGTGTTTCCCATTGAGCACATCAGTGTTCAGGCTGGTTCTTCTAAATGTCTGTTCATATTGATGGTTTGTGTGTCGTTAGAAAAACAAAATACCAATTTTGAGAAAGAAATAACATTATTTTGAATGTAAAAGTTTCATTTTGGCAGCAAGAATTGAGCGGGTTTTGTCCCCCACCTGGGTGTGGAGTGTGTGTGTGTGTGTGTGTGGTGTGTGTAGTGTGTGTTATTGATTTGTGTGTAGAGGTTTTTTTTCTGAGAAGTATGAGGCATGCTTTCCAGAAATGTGTGTAAACCCTTCGAGAAAAACGTAACAACACTTTTAGGTAGGATGAGGCCCCGGCCCCTCCCCCTGCGTTTAATGTGGAGGCACAACAGCTTCTCCCTCTCCCTATATTCAGCCAGTTTTTCCTCGATTGGTTTACACGCATTTCTGAAAAGCTGAATGATGAATGGAGGAAACACTTCTCTCCCATTCCTCCCATAATGACTTAGGCTTTTTCTGTCAGGGTGTTCCACTCACTACAGACCCCAGTACATACATCAAGTGTGTTGTAAATTTGGAGAATATATGTTTATACTCAGAACAACACAATACACGGTAACAATAGATGTTTATTTCAACACAAAAACAATCAGTGTCATCCCAACCAAACACAAAGTTACACCACCCACAGTGGGTCTAACATACAAAACAGCAGAAAGATTTACTGACACAGTACAGTAAATATTCATATATACAATATATATGTAATAATACTGCTGCCAATCCTCCTCTTCTGTCTCGCTCCCTGCACAGCACTTCCAATCCCACCATCACGAACAAATAGTTTCCCGTGGCCAAGCAGCGGGGGAATATCAAATCCAGCCCATGAAAAGCCATCACCCTGCTCTAATCTAACCCTAAACTGTTTGTTGCCCTTTTATGCTAAAGCTCTGATTGCTAATTGTAAAACTGTGTGACAGGTGTTTGCCCATGTGATGAGTCAGTGAAAAATTCTTCTGTGTTGGAGGTGAACCCAACTGTAACTGTACCTAATATAGTTTGATTTGATTGGGATTGTGGTTTCCTCATGTATCTTCATGCTTTTGATGACTAGTTCAAATATTTCAGATGACACAAGTCATGTAAAAACATTTTAATTAGTTTGATGTTGCACACAGTTTTCTGTGAATGAAACCAGTTTGCTCAGAGTGTCTTCACAGGATCATCAGCAGCTTTTAGAGTCTGTTGAACTTTCAATAAATGTTTCTTTGTTACTGAAACACTTTCAGTTTGACAGAGATTGCACAAAGAAACACACAGCACCATTATAAGTGATGTTTTAATAAAGTGTCATAAAGAATATGTGATGAACTCTGATGTTGATGTCGTGATCATTTCTCTAGTGACCACTAGGGGAAGCCAAACACTGCGTCACTGAAGGATTCTGAGTTCCTTTTGCACAAACACCATTAATACATCTATAAATACTTTTATCAGAATAGTTGAACAAGACATAATGAAAACAAACAATCAACCTTTTCATGTTTCAAGTATTTTCACACTAAATGAAATGATGATGAAGACATTGTGATTAAGGGGTGATTTATTTCCAGGGTGTAGATTAATAACAAAAACTTTTTCTCAACTGCCTAACAAGTTGAACACTGACTCTACCAACAAAGTTGAGCATGATTTCTTGTATTGTACACATTTCCCAATCAATAACTGGTCTTCCTGGTCGTCCCATAGTAGCTCATTATTGACTCCTCTGTCAGAGTTTGTTGACTCCTTTATTAAACTTTATGTTCACACACTGCTAACATACATTACGGATCCCTCTGATTTTATTAATCATATGTGACAAAATTTCCTAGGGCCTCATTCATAAAGGTTGCTATGTACAAAAAAAGTTGCCTAAATGGTGGTGAAATGTGCGTAAAGAAACATTATGTGTGGCGAGGTAAAGTTCTTCAGAAAGGGCGATGCCAGATGGTGAGATCATGAAATAAAGGTCATTTCACAGCATGAATATTTTCTTACGTACACAGATTCTGAGGTCTATGAGTAGCAATACAGCTTATATTATGACTTCCTGGGGCCCAAAATCTGTGCGTCAGGTAACTTTTATGCATTTTCTTTTATAAAATAGACAAATAACTCAAACTTAATTGCTATCTGGACCTTAACCAGGAACATAAATTGACCCAGGGTGTCTTAACTGTCAAAGATACACAGCAGAGACAGATCAGGACCAAATACAGACTCAGTGACCACAGACTGTCCACAGAGAAAGGACGGCACAAGAAGTCCTGGCTACTAAAAGAGGAAAGACTCTGCAGACACTGCAGAGATGTGCTTCCACTTATAATATATATAATACAATTGTATCAGGTGGAATATTTTAATAAATTAGATTTGCTCATTCCAAACTTTAAAGAGTTAAATTACAATAAAAAACAAACATGTAGCATACATAGCTGTAGAATATGTGACTGTTTCTCACAAACTGAGGGACGGTTACTGTAATTACCTGCAGTGTATTAACCCTGACAGTACACACTGCGGTACAGTAGGTGGCGCTGTGTTTAAGATCCGCCTTTAAATCCGCAGTGACTGAAGAAGCGAGCAGTTTCCGCTCAGTGAAGAAGGAGAGATGGCTGCAAGGTTACTGATCCGCTCTGCTGTCAGAGCCGCAACCCGCCGGACCGCCCCGGTACCCGGCCCGGTACCCGCTCTGCTGCCCGCTCTGACCCGCGGGATGGCGGCTGGAGGTGAGGACGGAACCGAACCGGAGCTTTCAGAGGCTCACAGACTGAAACAGACTCATTAAAGAGAGTTTATCCGCAGAAACAGACGCAGATCACAGACAGCCGGGTAGCATTAGCAGCGTTAGCAGTGGAGAGGTCAAACGAGATATTCAGTTTTTAATTTAATTAACAGTTAAAGTTAAAGTGTGTCTGTTACAAACAACCTGCAGTTCAAATGTTTCAGTAATAAAATAATTCACTTTAAATGATTAAATATTATATTATCGTATATCTCATGGTTCCATGTTACGTCTGTGACTGGCACACTGATCTGACCCCTGCAATAATGTGTTAAATACATTAATATTCGAAGCTTGTAATGAGGCTGTGACTCTTTTACAATCAGGATAATAAAGCTGTCCTCATATACTGTCTTGTTTAAGTTACCAACCTATCTATCTGAATCTTCATGTTAACGTTGAAACAATAAGTACCAAATACTTCTTCTGTTACTTTCTGTTTATCCAGATCCTATAAACTGAATATCTTTGAGTGTTGAACAGTTGTTGTTCCCATTAATTATAAATGCTTGAGTCGTCTCTAACAGTTCTCTGTTTCGGTTGCAGTCGGCTAATAAAAGCTCCTCACTGTTGATCTGACCTGTTTAACTGGTTTTGGTTGCTCAGGGATTCCACTGACGAAGGAACAAGCCACCGGGCCTGGAGAGGATCGTCATGAAGGCCATGGAAGGAGGGAACGGGTGGAGATCATTTATCTGGGCAGTAACGACTTTCCTGGGGGCAAATAAAAGTGTGACACTTTTTTTGTATCCAGTGAGTTGAATTCCGCTCTGCACATGCTCAGTACGGATCAGACACTCAGCAGGCAGCGTGAAGGTTTATGAGCTTGAAGAGCGAGCGTCTCCTTTATCAGGGAACAGAGGTTAAACCTGGGTGGGAGTTCAGATTCAGTTCGTCTGGTTTCTGGATCTATTTAATATTGCTAACAGATAAACATTGTAAATAAAAAACTGACGTTAAAGAAGATTTCTGTCTCACTTTCTCCACCAGAGGAGAAGTGAGAGAGTCGGTGTGTAACCCTGTTTAACTGGGCTGATTCAGGTGATAAAAGATCACAGCGTGTCCACTGGATCAATAACTGATCACTGCAGTAACTTACCGCCAAGCACGTCGTAGAATCGATCAGATCTGTTGAAGCTCAGAGACTCCAGAGCTGCCATGTTTAAAGTCCAAACTGGGACTGTGTGGAGGAAGGTATTCAGCAGCAGTGTTACGGTTTCTCTCTACGTCTCCTTTAATTCTGACCCTCTCCTCTCCTCCAGGATCCCTACAACATTTGATGAAGCGAAGGAGTACGCCGGCTCCAAGGGCGGACCCCACACCTCGTCCCCTCCATCACCAACAAGAGGATTGGTGGGATGTGTCTGTAAGTTCTTTGTAAAAGTTTTAACATTATCTGACTGATCACATTAAACCTCAGATTATGTGCAGGTACAGAACTGACTGGGGTTGCAGCCGAAACGACACTGATTATTAGTAATCAGGAACCTTAGTGGTGAAAATTTCGAACCAACCAGACGGCACGATGTAATATTAATAAACTTTTTGGAGGCAAATTTGTCTTTTTTACTAAACTACATTTATTAGATGACTTTAGTTTGCAGACTCTATAATTAATACAAAGTCTAATAAAATAATATGTGATTATTAGAATCAAACTATACCAGGCAGCATAAAAGGATCAAATAGTTCCATCTTTACCAGCTGCGACCATTCATCGATTATAATGGTTACTTGTCTTCTTGTTTTAACGCACTTCATCGTTGATCAGTACTCGATCACCGATACACAAAGTTCAGCTAATGGACGACAAAACGTATCAGAAACATTTCTAATTTATTCAATCAGCAGTCAGATTAAAAGTGAGCTGATACTGACCGTCAGGCAAATGTTGTAGAAGTAAATAATAATCAGTCTGTCTTTGTTCCAGATAAAGTTCATCTTTTAGGACCAACAATCATTAAAGGCATTCACATTCACCCGATGTTCTTGTTCAGCAGTGAATCTCCTTTTAAACATTAATACTATTTTATCCAGCTGTTTTAATAGTTTCCACTCTCACTGTGTTGTCCTGACCTGGTTCGTCCTCTTCGTCTCCTCTTCGTCCTCTTCGTCCTCTCTGCAGGTAAGAAGACAACACGGCCGTGGTCCTGTTCTGCTCCATTGAGGGCGAGGCCCAGCGCTGCGCCGTCCTGTGGTTCCACACTACAAAGCCTGGGGCCGCACGAGCTCCCCCACTAACTCCTCCGCCTCTGTTCCTTCGCAGACGTGGTGTCACACAGCGCGGTGTCGCTCGTGTCACGATATTCCTCTCCTTCCTTCAGAACGAGGTGAAGAAACATCAGACAGACACGTTTTCATCCTCAGTCTCCAGGAAGTCATTATCTCTGAACTCCTGGTTCCGTCTACTTCCCTGTCTTAAGTTGCGAAGCGGGTCGTCTGGATTGGTCTTCGGCTCGCTCTGTCACAGTACTTTGATCTACGCTGCTGGACCCATCAGTCTTTCTTTACATTTCCCGGTTCCAGAGGGATCAGATTGTGGTTCGGGACACAACTGTGTTGTTTCAACTTTCCATTCAGCTGCAGTTTACATTCACACCTGTAGCTGTACGGATGTTACACTTCACTCCTTTTTCCAATAAACTTTATCAAACTCTGATTCATGCTCTGTCACTCATTTTTCTCTAAGTTGTTTTAAAAGCATTATTCAGTTAAATTAACCTGCTTTTATTTGGGAGTAAATTAAACTTGTAACATGGGAGGAGATTAAACTTTGAGGAAGAAGAGGCTGTTGGAGTGTCTGCTGTCGATGTTTTGCTGGCTCTTTACTTGATTAGAAGGTAGAATTCAGCTATAATGTGTTCAGAGACAATTCATCAGACCTCTGTTACATTTGAAAATGTTCTGTAGTGTGGACTGGGGTTTTATTCAGTGTTTGTGATGTCACAATACACACTCGACAGAATTCATTATTCTGGATTCTCAATTTTTTAAAAACAAAATTAGATTGAAGATGAATTATGATCATTTCATAGATCTTTCATACAAAACAACTAAATATATATTTTTGTTATATTTCTTAATTAACCTTTCTGTATGTATTAACTGTGCAAAACTAAGCATATTTGCATATGGTGAACTGCGGCTTGATCCAGTGACTGATGCAGGACGTCAAATTAGCAAAGTCTAAAGTAGATAGTGCCCCACAAGTTTTGTGACATATCTTTACATTCGTACTGGGTATGAAGACAGACTCCTGCACCCAGTAAGAGTTACTTCTAAAGGACCAATGTGTAAGGTTTAGTGGATCTAGTGGTGACGTTGCCGATTGCAACCAATGGAATGCTTTAGATACAGGGCAGGTGTCTATACTGTATTTGATTCATATAATAGCAACAAGGATATGATGTGATATTACAAATATTCACTTTATTTCATATGTTTTTTTTTATTAAAGTGCTATCATTTGACACTAATTTCCATTTATTTTATAATTATTTTTCTTATTCTGTAAATGTTTTGGGACCACTATCTCTGTTGGACCGATATGTGTTGATTACAGTTTTCAATTACAACTGATTTTAGGTGGAATTTAGATGTGAATCACAAACACTTCTTGTTGAGGCTCAATCAGAAGCTGTGCCTGCGAGAAGCGGTAGTGGCGGCAACAGCAGCAGATGCAGCAATCACACACATTTTCTTCAGGAAATGCAAATATTCTAGTTTCACTTTGTTGCTATTTCTTTAACAACTATGCTTTTGATATTATTGTTTCATTATTTTTCCTTAGTTAATATTACGTTTCTTTCTTTAACTTATGTGTCAGTCTACCCGCCTGTCTGTCAGAAGGGCCTGCTCAGCAACTAAGTTGTATATATGTCTTAATACATGTCTGGACTAGATGTTTAGGTTTAGTAGTAAAAGTTATGGAGTTAAACTTTTGTCTTTCACTGAAGTACAACATTATTTTGTATGTAGTGGAAGAGAAGTTCTGTTGGTACAGTGAAGGATGAAGAGTAAAACTTTGTTGTTCGTTCAAAAACATGTCTGCCTCCAGAGGGCGCCAGTTTCAAACATATTCAACTTCTGCTCCTGTAAGCTACTTAATATGTTAAATCAATGTTACTGACTGCACAACTGTTCTCATTGAACTGGCTGGAAGTGGTGGAGGAAATAAGTAAAAGTACTAATACCACACTGTAAAAATACTTTACACTTACATATGACAAATGCATTAATGCAAAAGCAGAATTTTACTGTAGCTGGTGGAGCTCACTTTTTTAATTATTCTCAATATGAATTTATTATCTTTTCCATTAATCTTGTTATGTTGTGTAAGAATTCTGAAAATATTGAGGGATGCCATCACAATTAAAAATCTTTATTTGTAAAGGTGCTGTATCCACAGCATTCCAGTGTTATCAAGGCAGCACATCAAAATCTGTAGCTGTGTATGGTGACTAGATCACATCAAACCAAATGTGGGACAAGCAGTATGTTTGTGTGGGCTTAGGGGTAGTCTTAACTTTTGATATAATGTCTGTGTAACTTAAAAAAATTAACATTTCTATTCTGTATTGTAATGTCTCTACACTTTTCCCTCTGGTCGATTCAGTAGCATGTGAAGGACTCAAATATATTTTATTTGCAACTTTCCAAATCCCCACACTTAGTAAAGGCAGTAAGCATAAAAGCAATCTAAAGTTTCACAATTTTCAAAAGAGAAAACAACAGTCCCCTGTTACCTTCTGTGACTATGTGACTAATGAAAAGTGCATCAACTAAGACTCTTCTCAGTGACTAACTATTAAGTCAACTTTCATGGGACAGCCCTAGACTCTTGGTTTATTCACGACTTTGGTCTGTAAAAAACAGCTGTCAAACTAACAACATCTGTCTGACACAATGGTTGAGCTATTTAGTTTACAGAAATCTATACACTGGAATGTCCCAAAGGAAAACAAAAAGGATGAGATACTGGGAGGAAGGCAGAGAATTTCTGTGAAATCGTGAACACAGAACGTTCCTCCCATCTCCTGATGGAGTATAAAAACTCTGAACACTGAGTACTCGCTGCTCTTCTTACCTCCTCAGCATCACAGAACTTCCTGAAGCCAACAACAGGTAAATGATGAAATACTTTTACTTACTTATGTATTTGTTAACAGATTAGACTGGGTTCAACCCAATGAGACAACAAGGCATTATGTTCTATAGTCGTTGCACATAAAGTCAAATTTTCTGTTCTGGAAGCAACAACTTCCACCACACTACTGAGCTGTAAAGACTTTTTGCTTCATAAGTGAACTGTCATTTTGTGTTTTCTTTATTACAAATGAATGAAAATGCAATTAAAGATATAGTTTGTTTGCTTGTTGTTTTTTTCATCCAGACACCAACTCCAGTTTCAGCCTCACTGTGTGGAGCCTTTTCTACCAGGCATCACCATGTCAACTGAGTGAGTAACATTAACTATTAACATAATTAACCTTTGAACTCTTTAATTCTGTGTAATCAAACTTTAATTCCATATATTTAAGTTATATACCATCTGTTTATTTACTTATTTATTTACAGACTTGCTATGACAATATAAATATCTGTTTCCCATGCAATAAAGCTTTTTAAAATTCTATCAGATTGACATTGTTTATGTCTAAACCCAATTTAATTCTTCCTCTCTTATAAACAAAGAAAATAAAATTAGCTTATGAAAGAGACAATTTGAAGTTGTTGAGATTCTTCTCTGATTAGATTAGTCTATAAAAACTATTAGTAAAAGAGGTTTACAACAACCACAGTAATGATCTGACAAAGACCCGAAATTATTACTCTTCATTTATGTCAACTGTGTGGATGAATAAATTCATACCGTCAAAGCAGATTGCGAGAATTTGGATGCATGTTTCTTTTTTAATGACAAATAATAGAGATGACCTTTCTTAAATAAAGGTTGGTTTATTTACCAGTATGGTTATTGACACATTACTTTTAGTTTGATTCGTGTAAAAAAATGTACATTATCTCTACCTGATACTCATTTCAGCCATGTACTTGCTCAACCCCTAAAAAGTTCATTAACAAATACAGTTAAGTGCTGACATTACAGCATTTGCAACAAAGAACTTTGCTCAAATGTACATGAAATTAACTGTGCAAATGATCTACTTCATTAACAGGAAAATCAAGACCTCACCGAAATATGAGGACATCATTTCAAAAAGTGATCTGATCCAATCAGATCTCCCACTGTCTACCAGCTGAAACCAAAGAAAGAGAAGATTGAAACTCTAAACACAGAATGACTCTTGGTGAAAAAAAAATCGAACAAGACAAACAGAACCATTTTTACTTGTTGGTGAAACAGTAGCAGGAAAATCTACCTGGTCAACACTCTGGTTCAACTTACCACCATGGAAGTGAAGTGGAGACGATGTCTGGTTTCAGATTGTAGACGACGAGAAGGGATGAGAAGAATGGGTCAGTCAGACAGTCAGACATCAGATGTGACGTTTATGAGATCTTTGGTTTTGAAGATAAAACTCTGCCCTACTCTCTGACCATCATCGATACTCCTGGATACGGAGATACCAGAGGGACTGAACAAGATGAAGTAGTCAGTCAAAAATTATTAGACTTGTTCAGCTCAGATGATGGAGTTGAAAACATCAATGCAGTGGGTCTGGTGCTGAAAGCGACTGAGAATCGACTCAGTGACCGACTGAGGTACATCTTTGATTCAGTGGTGTCTCTGTTTGGAAAAAACATGGAGAAGAACATTGTTCCCCTCCTCACTCACTCAGATGGTCTGACACCTGAAAATGCTCTAAAAGCTCTAGAAGATGGAAAAAATAAATGTGCCAAAGATGAGGAGAATCAGTCTGTTCATTTTATGTTTAACAACCATCAAAACAAGCAGAAAACAGAGAGAAATAAAGTTGCTTTAAAAAGTGCATGGGACCTAACAATGAACGAAATTCATAATTTAACAGACTTTCTGGAAAAAACTGAACCTCCAAAGCTGATGACAACTGTTGAAGTGTTGAATTCACGAATCAGACTGACAGCCTGCATCCAAAACCTGCAAGAGAGAGTTGAGTTTATTGAACTAAAACAGAAAGAAATCCAACAGACTGAGGAAGCTCTGAAGAAATATGAACAAGAGATGAAGAACAATGAGAAGTTCACTGTAGAAGTTGATGAGGTCTACAAAGATAAAGAACCTATTGATGGTGGGATGTGGGGGTTGGTGTTTTATGAAGCAGCTGTCTGCTGTACAGTCTGTGAAGAGAACTGTCACTATCCTGGATGTACAGTGGCCTGGAGTCCAGAACACTGTGAGGTCATGAAAGATGGTCGCTGCACTGTTTGTACCAGGAAGTGTCCCGTATCAGCTCATGTGAAAGAAAAGTGGATCTATGTGAACAAGACAAGAAAAGTTCAGAAGACCTTAGAAGATGTGAAAGAGAAGTATGAAAAGAGTAAATCAGACTGGGAGGAGACAGCAAGCCTTTTGGAAAATCTAAAAAAGAAAACAGAAGAACTTCAGAAAGATAAAGATCAGATGTTGGAAAAGTCCTACAAGCTGGTTGTCAGACTGGAGCAGATCGCCCTGAATGCTGATTCACTGTCCACTCTTGTCCACTTGGACTTCCTGATTGAGAAGATGAAGGAGAAAGGAGACACAGAGAAGGTCCAGAAACTGGAAGAGATGAAAAGACGAGTGGATGAAGGAACCAGAGCAGCACTTAGGTACAAACAATCAGCAGCTGGTGAAGAAGCAAAATCAAAGTAGGTGAACAACGGAATTTTGAGCAGACAGACGACAAGGTCTGCACTGTAGATATACATAGACAAATATTCACACCAATGGTCTATTTCTATGAAATGTGCTTTTGATGTAAGACAATTTAAAAGTAATCAGCGTTTTAATTGTTTGTTCTTGTAGTTTTTTAGTTACTTCACTGTACAGAAGATCAGTGCTCAATCATGACTTGATCCACAGAAGTAAAAGCAGAGTTAGGATTTATGCTGCTATCCATTGTACTCAGAACTATCGACTTCTGACTTCCAATGGATTGCAGCATTATTTGGTGTTGAGAACAGCTGTTAGCTTTCTTGCTATCATGCTCATCGTTCAACCTCTTTTATCCTCTCAGCTCCATCGTCACATTAAAATACAACATTTACTGTGTTTACGTGCACTTCAGTAACAGGTTACAGTCAGATGGTTTCTTATAAACCATAAACCTGGTTTCCCAAGTAGATTCATGTAGAACAAAGGTTGTTTAGGAGTGTTTAATGTAGAGTACTACAGCTCCCTCATTCCCCTATATCACAAACTAAAGTCAGGTCATGTACAAAAATACATCTTTCTTTAGTTTCTTTGTGTGAGTTTAATGTTCTTTTCAGTCAATACACTAATGTTGACACAAGTCTCAGTAAGCATATCACTGAAATATATAATATATACGTATAAAGCAGCTAAGCATTATGTTTGTTGTTGCTAATCAGTCTGAAGATGTTAACCAGTGGAAATATTGTGCTGTGTTGCAGGTGAATCCTACTGTAATGAAATCTAATGTACTTTGGTTTCTTCATGTGTCTTCATGCTTGAATGACTAATAAATATTTAAGATGACTCAGAAATGGAAACATTCTGATTAGTTATGTTTTTTTTTTGTTTAAACAGTTATGTTTATTTTTATTGATTGCAATATATTCTGTTATTCTACATGAAATCACATCCTGATAGATGCAGTTTTCTGTGAATGATGAATAAAATTTCTGCTTCATGAAACCAGTTTGCTCAGCAGCTTTTAGAGTCTGTTAAACTTTATTAAATGTCTGTTTTTCTATATTACTGAAATAAAATTGATTCGTAAACACAGACAATGGAAAAGGATTAGTCTTTATATTGCTAGATATCTAGAAATCTAGATCCTAGTGCTGAATTTGACGACAACATTTTACTAGACTGGAAAACTAGGATTTACTTTCTGGCACTGTTATAATCTGGGTTGAATTGTACTTGAAGGCTAGGGACAACTTTGTATTGATCCAAAAGGACACATAGAGTTCCCCAAGGCTCTGTTCTCGGGCCTCTTCATTTTATTGTGCAAAGTTATCAAAAAAAGAAGAAAAAGCCAAACTAATACACTTTATATTTCATTTAATTAAACTGATAAAACTTTTTTATAAGATGAACATTTTTAAAGTTTTTAAACGTTCTTGTTTTAAAATATATATGTATTATATTATATGCAGCACTTATTTTTCTCGAAATGGAAAAAAAAACAATGTATTGCTTTCTTTTAATATTTATTGATCCCCGGTTAACAAGAGAATGTATTTTGGTCATTATGCCAACTCATATCACCTACTGTGTAGGAAACAGCTTTTTAAAAAAACATCACCAGGTGACTGTTATCCCATACAACTACTGAGTAAGTATGCCAATATTTCCTGTTAAACAAAAGCAGACATAATTGTAGACAGCTGTGACTGATTCAAATGCCTCGTTAAGACCAGGAGAGACCAACTCCATCTAGTTCTCATGCCTTTACACTTTTTGTTTTGTTAATTGATTGATTTTGAAATAAAACGTTTGGTTTATAAATCACTGAATTTCTGTTTCTTCATTATGAAGCATCCAGACCTCTCAGACAGTCTGGATCAGGACCTGGAGAAGTAAAACTTGAGATATGCTCCAAATATCAGTTATTTCAAATCCAGACTGAAAACAAAACAAAATAAAATGCAGACAAATGTCTGAGTTAAACTTAATACTGTTACTATCTTACAGTTTAATTTCTTATTCTATTTTAACTTATTTATTAACTTTATTTTTATTTAATTTGAATATGAAAATCATATTTGATATGTCTTAATATTGTCTTTTGAAATGGTCTTTTATGTCTTTCTGTGTGAGGTAAAGCACTTTTAATTGTCTTGTTGTTTAAAGATGCTTTTGGTGATATTGTTGTCACATGATTTTAGAGAAATAATGTGACTTTAAACCAGCAAAACAGGAAGTAGGGAGGGAGTAGACTTCCTCTAGTTTCATTAGTTTTTAATAATATAAGAGCCACCTTTATTGATTACCCACAGGGGAAATTCAGGTATTGGATCAGCAAGTAAGTACAGTTACAAAGCAAAAAGGTAAGAAACAAAAAATAATATAATAAAAAAATAAAAGTATATAAAATAAAATAAGAACATACGTGTGTGAGTGTGGTGTGTGTATGTGTGTGTGCATATAGTACTATATTGTACTGCAGTCTACAAAGAGAACCCACTTTCTGTCTCTGTTTCTGAAATCATGTGACGACAAATCGTCCACCCTTTTTGTTATAAAACCGCCATTTCTGCCCCCACAGCATTAGAGAGCTTTGTGAATACACTCGGAAAGTGGAACAAATTTAAAATGTTAACACCAGGAGTCATCACATTATAAACTATAGTCTTCCTGACTCAACTTTCACTAGAGCTTTATCAATTCCTGTTTTAAAATGTCTGAGGTTCATGTTTGAACAGATGACTGCGTGTCAGATTTCAATCTTCTATGACTCAAAAATCACAAAAAAACTAGAAGGCATGTCTCACTAATACTTTTTACTTTGACACTGGAAACCGTTTGTTGGCTGACTAACAAATACATGGTATTAATGGCACACCTGGTCACAACCCACAAAGTTTGGAAGAGAGAGGGACTGAAATCTCTTGGTGTTAATATATCTAAGATAGAAGAAGAAATATTTGAGATAAATGGTCCTAAACTGATAAAAAAAAAACTATTAAAGATCTTTCCAGATGACAGCTTTCCCTTTTCCCCATCCATTCTGACTTGGCCTTTCCCTCCTAGTAGCATTGGTGGCGGAACTGCTTGGTGACTTTTTGTTTTATTTATTTGCCTTGGTGTGGAACCTTTCCTTGAAGTACAACCTGCAAGTCTTGGATGTTACCAAGCAAAGGAATCCGATGCAATCTTGACCTGTTTTTCTTGCTGTTCTTGCAGGTCACAGGCAGTGCTTCTCTCTGAGCTTATGAGGTAACTTCAACATAGTGGTTCTTATGTTTGGTGGCATGTCCAATTTCCTCTTGTATGTAATTTGTTCTGTTGCATTGCACTGCACACTATTTTTCCCCTATGCCCTGAAGGGCCAAGCTTGGTACTGAAGAGGGTGATTTTGCTGAGCCAATAAAGTAGAGATGTCATTTTGTTTTTGCATGATATTTACTATGTCCCTTTGACTGTTATCACTCAGCAATTGGAGTTGAATGAGAGTAAACACGCCTCACTAAATTTCCCTGTTCATGCTTATAGGTCTGCATACTGGGCCTGAGTTGAGTTTTCCGGCACCTGAGATGCTGCTTGAATCTGGGAATGGGTTTTCACTGATATTTTTTTTTTTTTCCTTTCGATGAACAACCAGTGATGGAAGTAAGACAGTTTTACCTCTGTTTCAGGAATGTAAGCAGCTGCAGTGGGATTGAGATTACTGGCGGGTTGAGCAGTAGCCTTTTCAAAATAAGAGCACATTCCATCTGACAGTCCAGAGCCATTCTTTGATACACTAACTTCCAATACATGGATTTTAGCATTAGCAGCTCTTTCCAATTCAAGCATGTCTATCTTCTTTCTCAGTTTCTCTCCTCTTGTGCCTCTATTAAATGTCTTTTCTTCAGCGCTGCAACATGCTCCATAAGAGCTGCCTTTACAGCTTCGGCCTTGATGCATGCAGAGGATGTTGTAGAAACACGTGATAGCTTAGATGCAGCCTTTACATGGCTTATTTTAGAGCGTGAGACATTGGAAGCACTATCTCAGGTCTAATTTCCTCTGATCATACTCAAGACATCATCCTTTTCAGAACACTTACTATCAGGTTGACTGACATTCACAAGCCATTGTTTCACATTTTCTGCAAATTCACAGTGAAGTGTCAATTTTGTGTGAAACCACTGATTTTGTGTTTCAACTTCATTTTGGGGTTTGGTTAAGCTTACGAAAGATACATGCTCATTTCTTGCTTCATCATAGCACACAACACATGTTGCATGTCAGTGACATTTTCATTAGATTTCATTATCACTTGAAGCCTCTTTAAATATGATTTGATTTTGTTGCTGCTTTGTACTTTTCAGTTTGGTAAGCCAGGCCCTTGGTGGTTAGTTTGTCTCTTTTTTTTTGCTGGCATAGACATATCAACCTCTGACATTTCATGCGCTTCCCCTTTAATACATGCGACCAAAAATGCAGCATAGCCACTAAATATTTCTGTAAAAATCACCAGCACAGTTCATAGTACTTTCAATGTATTAACATCACACCCGAACACGATCACAAGACTGATCAGAAACAATGTATAATTTAACTTATGTCTGCACAGTGGGACAATGTTATGTAGTATTTCATACCAATAGAGACCCACGAATGATCATCACCGCAGCAATTCAAACAATCAACACCAATCCAACACAACACATTAAAGACCAATACAGTTAACACCACTTAAAGACAATACTGAGCAGTGAAACAATACAGTCAATTCCAATCGTTACACCGTTTTCCAATACAGCTTTACAGTCAATGTGTCCACTGCACATGCCATCTCTCTGCGGTATTAATTTATTGTGATGTGTGCTCAGTCTTTGGCTTGACTGAAGTTGATATTGTCATTTGTTTCACTCATGCGTTTATTAAAAAGATAAATAAAACAAAAATAAAAATAAAAAATTAACATGAATCAAAATATCAGCTTACAGTCAAAGGGCACTCATGCACCAGGTCAGGTGGGGTGTACA